GGTTACAGCTGTCATGGTGGTTTTGGATATGGGTCACGTAACACTGATGGCGAGCGAATTCTTGAATATGCAGACTCGCACAACCTCGCCATTGTGAACACGAAATTCCGAAAACGTGACTCACATCTCATCACCTTCTATAGCGGTAAACCAGAACACAAATTGATTTCGTACTTGTCAGGCGCCGCGATCAAGGGCTCGTAACAGACGCGAAAACAGTGCCTTATGAAACGGTCGCCACGCAACACCGACCACTGATTTGTACGCTAAAGATCGCCCCGCCGAAACCGAAACTAACCGAAAGGTGTGGGCCAGCGAGAATCAAGTGGTGGCGACTGAAGGAAAAAGAAGCGGGCGTTTCCCGCACTTCGATTACCAGCGAAACGACTGTAGCTCAGACTGTAGCTCGATCCCAGCTCGGGATGACGAAGCCTGGACGGCGGAGAATTGACAAGCAAACGTGGCTGTGGACGGACCAGGTCAGAGAGAAAGTGCGCGAAAAGAAGAAGCGGTACCACGCTTTCACGAAAAGACAGCTGAGAACTGGCGGAGCTATCAGATAGCGAAGAAAGAGGCAAAGAAGGCCGTTGCTTCCGCGAAAGCAGCTCATTTTGCTGATATCAGTAAGAAACTCGAGTCGCGCGATGGTGAGCGGTACGTTTACCGACTTGCAAAGACCCGCCATCGCCAGACCGAGGATATAGAAAAGTTCTTCGGCATAAATGACGAGAATGGCCACCTCTTGACGGACCGCAAGAAAACACTGAAGCGATGGCGTGACTACTTCGAAAACATCTCAACAGTCGAATTTACTCATCCCGCCATCCCCTGCGCTCCGCCAGTACACGGTCCCGTTCAGAAGATAACCGTGGAGGAGACCATCACGGCCATGAAGAAGATGAAATCAGGCAAAGCAACTGGTCCTGACGACTTAGCGGCGGACTTGTGGAAATCAAATGCTGGAATCCTGCAGAATGGTTGACGGAGTTCTTCAACCAGATCGTTGCAGAGAAGAAGGTGCCTGAAAGCTGGCAACAAGCACGACGATTCCTATCTGGAAGAAGAAGGGCAGTCCAGGAGACTGCACTAGCTATCGTCCAATTCGCCTGCTCTCGCACAGCATGAAAATCTTTGAGCGAGTTGTAGATAGCCGTATCCGGGACATCGTCGAGCTGACCACCAACCAGTGTGGTTTTGTGGCTAGTTGCAGCACCATCGATGCCATACACGCCGCTCGCCTTCTGCTAGAAAAGCATCGCGAGAAACAAAGACCGGTGCATTTGCCTTCCTAGACTTGGAGAAGGCTTTCGATCGCGTTCCGCGTGACGTTATATGGTATGCCTTACGACAGCATGGCGTTCCTGAAGAGCTTATTGAGTGGGTGCGCATCCTTTACTCGAGTCCAAAGAGCCGAGTGCAAACGGCAGCAGGAACATCGATGGATTTTCCCATCTCTGTCGGGGTACACCAAGGCTCTGCGTTATCCCCACTCCTATTTGTTGTCGTCATGGATGCCATTACGAGAGATCTCCAGAAGCCGGCTCCATGGACGCTTCTTTATGCTGATGACGTGATGCTCGCTAGCGAAGATAAAAGCACGCTCGAGCAACAGGTGCAAGCCTGGTCCGACCGTCTGGCTATGTTCGGGCTCAAGCTGAACGTCAAAAAGACTGAGTACTTGACCACCGATTCGAGTGAGTTAGGCTCTATTAAGATCAATGGTACTGAACTCACTCGTGCAACATCATTCAAGTATCTTGGATCAGCAATCGCGTCTGACGGCAGCCTGGTCTTCGAAACGAATTCTCGCGTGAATGCAGCCTGGTCGAAATGGCGCTCGATGACTGGCGTTCTCTGCGATAAAAACATGCCAGAACGTCTCAAATCTAAGATCTATAGAACCGTCATCCGGCCGGTCGCGATTTACGGTGCTGAGTGCTGGCCTACGACTAAAGAGGTCGAAGCCGTCTCAGTGTGATGGAGACCAAGATGCTGCGTGGACAGCCGGAGTCACACGAGTAGACCACATTCGAAACGATGTCATCAGAGAGCGATTCGGGGTGGCTCCAATTGTCGACAAGATGCGCGAAGCCCGTCTTCGATGGTATGGTCATGTCCTTCGCGCGAAAGATGATAG